AAGTGGGTAGTGTACTCATCAAGGACCTTGAAAAGTACAAACCCCTAAACTCTTATAACAGAAGCTAGAAGATAGGAAGTAGAATCCTGGATCAGTTCTTCTGTAGACCTTGATCTTTGCTCAACTAGTTCTTGTAAATCATTCTTGTGACACTTTGCTGCTTCTTCCTAAACTTTATTTTCCAACAGCAAGGAACCAGGTAAACAGATACAGCCTATATCTAGATCAGAGGGAAGATTGAAGAGAACCATTTTTACCATCCAGTCATGAATTTCTTAGAAGCCCAGCTCCTAACAACTTTAGAGAAAGTCTGCAGTTGCAAAAAATATATACAACTTTTGTCAGATGAATAAAAGAGAATTCATGCTTAAAATATGGAAATAGAAGGAACAACATGGTAATATTCCCAGTGATCAGTCCAGGCACTATAAAATTAAGCTCAAGAAATGAATAGCAAGCAAACTAATGTATAAGCTACAAGAACAGACTTTGGCGCAGTCATCAGATTTAGCTTTGTGATGCAAGTGCATGTACCAGAGGCAAAGAGAAGAGGAGAAGGAATTAGATAAGAAGTCGAGAAGAAGAGAGAGATAAGAAAAGTAAATGTCAAACAGAGATATAAGGAAAAGAGACCAGCAGTAACCAAAAAGATTGCTCCCAACAGCACATAAAACAGTAATGCAGAAGTCAAAGGCCCTACGATTCACCTTACATTTATGTGCAAAACAGCAGGTGTGTAATCAGTTAAACAACTAATCAAGTACGGTACATGTGATAAACTCTTCTGAGAAAGGGGGCTTATATCATTTTGATATAATACATTTTCCAGGAAAATTGATGGAATTCTTTTTGACTTTTGGTCATTTTAACATGTTAAGAAAAACATTATGCACACAAGTTATATCTTTTAAGGGCACTAGTATATTGTGTTTAGATAACCGAAGGGGCACCAGTATATTTTCAGCTATAATTATCTCTATTTCTACTCCATACCAATTACTTCCACCAATGTATAATCACTATTTTCATTTTTGTTCCTCATTGCTCATAAGGATCACCAAGCATCACTCCCACGCTCCACCTGCCACCATCTGGTACTATTAGAAGCTACCAACTGTTTTACCCATCAAATGTTATGTCAGATTAACCCTAAATTGATCGATCTAACACCCGTTCAAATGCAATCTAGCACAAAGACTGGCATAAATATCACCAGATATAAAGGAATGTAGCATGCCATAGATGTTATACCATGCAATGATGACAAATAGGAATGCCACATCCATCACACCTCAAACGCATGAAAATCGAATTTCTCAAGAAGTGTAGGACATCCGAATAATACATTATAATTTTTACATAAAACCTAAGTCCAACCTAAAATCACATGTAGATACACTCAAGAATCAACAAACATGTTATATAACAACTAGTCGCATCCATCAAGTATACACACATAGGTAGTATAGAAAGAATAAAATATGACTGAGCACATGTCTAACACCTAAGGAGATAAATATGCAAAGCTTTTAAAGACATTTCTGCTTCGTATGCATAAACATCAATGCACAGCAGCATATGGACGCGGACATGGAGAGCGCGTCATTTAATCATTTAATATGCTACAAATGTATTACTTTGATATATTAATCTAGTTTGTTCAACAATTTTTTACTAAGAGGAGAAAAAAGCACAACTTAAATCATTTAAATGTAATAAAAGAGTGAGTAAAAGCAGACAAGAAGAAGTTCAATTAATATGTATGACACCCGAGTCCTCTCCTACCATAAAAGGTCAAACGTTAACACAGTTTCTCATTAACTAATTATGTTGAGTTCTTCTGAACTTCATAAATATTTTCCTTTCATACCACAAAATAAAATTTTACTTGGCAGGAAACAGTAAATAAATAAACTGAAAATTAACAGCAAGCCAGACTTCAACCAATATTTCCCGCAATCTCTATGATCAATTTCCAAACATAAGGGAAAATATTTTCTTCCATTTTTTGTAATGTAATTCGAATAATTTCTTCCATTTGCCTAAGCCTTCATCAGCACAGTTACCTCATAACCATAGGCAGATCTAGGATTTGGAATTTTGGGTTCAGATTATTTGTACATATATAGTAAGTTTCGTAACACATATATAGGGTTTGAGTGCCAAAGCTACTTAGTTCAGCAGAATCCATAACTCACACGGTACATCCACCCTTGCCTGGTATATGTGCTAGTGGGAGTTAGTAGGTACCAGGTGGAATAGTACCAAGTTAGTCCTAACACCACTGATATAAAAACAAAAATACAAAAAAAGTTTTCCCTTGGGGCGAAAAAAAAAAATGCAAAAGTAACAAAATAGCCCCTTCTTCAAGCATTCCTCTTTCCCTAACTTTGAGCTCTTAATAAGTAACTGCCAGCATGACAATAAATTATGCTCATACAAAAGTTATCCAATTCTTTCCTTCTATAAATACTTCAACAAAATCCATTCTTAAACGCAACTTTAAACTCCTAATTTACACAATTAAAACACCAAAAATCACTACCACACTTAACAAAACCCTGATCCAACATACAAATCCAGTTAAGAGCTAATCGAAACACTAAAACCCTAGCGATATTCCCAATCAAAAACAAAATATCTGAATAAGAATAGTTTGAGAAATAGCGGAATTAACCTCGCGGCCGGAGTGATGGTGAGAAGAGGAAGAGGAAGGCCTATTCGCGGAGTCATCGTCAACGGCGACAGCGGCGGCGGAGTGAGCCACCGGAATAAGAAGTTCACGATCTCTGCTAGAATTTGCCATTTTTATCCCCAATTTCTCATCTCCCATTTACTTATAATAAAATTTCTTTTCTTTTTGCTATGAAATAATAGTGTACAGATTTTGTAAGTGTAACAGTTCTATTTAATCTATTTTTTTTAAAAAAATATTTATATTGCTTGGTGATAGAGGAAATGTTTGGGCAGTGGGACAGAAGAGGAATTTAAGAAAAAAAATGTTGTCTTACTCTTATTAAAGTTAGCTCTAGACTCCATAATTTAATGGACTATTCAATGTTGATGAGGTATTGCGTTTGGTTTGGGCTGGGCCAGGTTGGATTTTGTCATGTTGATGAGCTGTCTCCAATTATATTTTGCCAACTCATACCATCTTTTTTTTTTTTTAGTTTAGGTACTGAATTTAATTTCTATATATTGATAATATAAAAAATATATAGCCTAGAAAATAATACTATAAGTAACAAAATTACTTGCACCCAGTATTTATAACAAACCATGCTAATTTTTAATTAAGTCATAAATTAAGGTGCAAATGTTTATTAGTTAATGATTTAAGGATAAGAGTAGATATTTTTTCCTTTTGGTTTCCATTCGATGTCCAGTACCAATATTGGGGCCTGACTAAATACGAATTTGCACCGAGAAGTCCCACATTGAGGGGTAAAGCGCTCCTTAACAAAGACAATTTCATACCTAGGACTCGAATCCGAGACCTCTAGTGAAGGATGAATGAGTACCTACTATTCTACCACCAGCGGCGAAACCAGATATTTTTTCAAGGATGTTCAGACTTAAAATAACTAAATAAAAAATTCGACAAAGAGTGTTCAATATATGTTTTATACATTTAAAATTAATTTTTTTACTTATATACACAATATAAAGGTGGCTTCGCCCTATCTACCACAACCTTTGTTGGTATGTATCATATATTTATACGCCAACTCCGATTTTTTTTTAAAAAGAATTATTTAAACTCTAAAGTTAACTCCTATATATAATAGTAAGATTAATAACCTGAAAATTAGGCAGGTAACATGTTACAACAACAACAACAACAACCCAACAGGTAACATGTTACGATAAGTAAAAAATATTACACGGTTTGTGTATTTAAGTAAAATCACCAAAGAAATATTTGTTAGGATCAAAGACAATACTTACATTTTTTTCATTATTGTAAATGAAATGGTTGTTATATAGTACTATTTATCAAGGAAATATGAGAGGTTGAAATTTGAGAGGTTAACATGACTGTAGTTATTGTTGTGTGTTTAAGCTTTAAACAAGAATTATGATAATATTTTTATTTATACTAATCAGTCATGAAATAATTAAGTTCTGTGTAATCAAGCAACTCCTACTTTATGTATTGTGCCTTAAATAAACTTCAAAAATTATTGATACTTGCAATCATTTCAATAGAACATGTTTAAAACCGATTATGATTATTGCCCAATAATATATTCTCGATCAATTTGCGACTAACAAACTCCAAATTAAACAATGACCATATTGATAGTGCATACTCCAAAAATCTCTAATTTAGTCCTTAATTGTTGACATTTCATGAAACCAGAAAAAATAATCTTTCAATGTATCATGATAAATAGTAAATTTTAACAACAAAAGGGTAGTCCGGTGCACAAAGCATCCCTCATTAATACAGGGTCCGGAGAAAGCCTGTACTCTCAGAGGTGTGATGTAGACAGGCTAACCTAATACAAGCATTAGTGGCTGGTTCCACGGCTCGAACATTTGACCGATAGGTCATATAAAGACAACTTTATCTTACTCCAAGGCTCTCGTTACAGCAGCAAATCAATATTCTCTGTATGTATAGTTGTCCCCTTTTTCTTCCATCCTTAACCTGAGATATCGAGTTGAAATATTAAAAATGGAGAATAGAATTAGTAGGGCGAGTGGGTTGCGAACAAGGGGCGGAGCCAACCTTATAGCTGCAAGTTCGGCAGAACCTAGTAGCTTTGGCTCAAACCTTGTATTTGTGTTATAAAAATTCATTTAATATGTATAAATAGTCTATTTAGAGCCCAGTTAGTAAGAAGATTATTGTCCGAAACACATAAATTAAAAATCCTAGCTCCACCTTGATTCCAAATATGCGATACGAGATATTTGTGCAAATGCAGTTTATTGTTCCCCGGAAAAGTACAGAAGATTGATCAAGTTTGGTAAATGCAATCAAATAAATCATGTGTATAAAGACTTCATTGTATTCCCTTTTCAGCAATAAATGTACAACTCTGTCGATCAAATTCAACAACAAATTATTAGAGCTATTCAGCTTTGTGTTATTCTGCAACTCCAAAAAAAAAAACCAGCTTCTTTAATACCTTTACAACCCCCGTAAGTATAAGATTTATTATTTACACATTATGTATGTCAACCTGCTGTTCTTGAGTCGAGGGTCTATCGGAAACGACCTCTCAACCTCACACACAAGGTAGGGGTAAGGTCTACATACACCCTACCCTCCCCAGAACCACTTGTGGGATTTCACTGAGTATATTGTTGTTGTTGTGTATGTCAACCTGAATATGTACAAACACTATAGCACGAACTCAGTAAGTACATCGTCGATAATTCCACTCAAAAGATGTTTCTCAATGTCAGTCACTACTTGTTCAACCTCATCCAAAGTAAATCCATTTCTCCAACCAAGATCCCATGTTGTACTAACCACTTCATTGCACCATATATCTCTTTCATGTAAAGCATAAAGAGTACCTATTGAAAGGTTATTGCCAGCAACCTTAGTGTAACTTTTCAAGACTTCAATCTTGTCACAGATTTCATTAACCAACTTGTCAAAGGAGATGGAGATTTTCGACGTCTTAATTGGATTTTTGGATACTACCAGGGTACACTGAGACCTTTTATGTTCTAACAATTCATTGGCACAATCCAATAAGAGTGTGTTTTCTGCGACTTCATTGTCGACACTAATTGTTTTCCATACTGTTGGTTCCCATGCATCAGTATCGAAAAGCTCCTCTGCTCGACTGAGGAATGATTCGTTGCTCAACAGTATGTGTCGTGTAGTCGCTCTAGATTTAAGGTCTTCCTTTTCAGTTGAATGTAGATGAACTTGATAGCTAGTGTGCTCCATTAGGGGGATGTCATGGTCACACTGGATAAATGGCACAGTAGACTCAGATGCGAAACTTTCATCAGTATTAAGATTATCTGCAATAGAAGAAATCATTGTATGTTGTAAGTATTGTCCCACGACTAGAGATTAATCTACTCGGATCAATAACTAGAGTAGTAGAAGATACATTTCTCCGTAACTTGTAAAAATGCAAGAACCTTTTACATAATCATTTCTTTGTCGCAGTCCTCTGAAGAGATCGAATGAGGAAAGAGGTAGATGGACATATATAGAGACAGTGAACAGATGATACTAATAATGAAGTTTATGTGCCTGTCTTCAAAATGTTGAAGTGTTTAGAGCATATAAGTTTAAGCTAGATGAACTTCAGCTGCTACTTGCAGGTATCATAACCTGGTCCATTAAGCAGCAAGCTAACTGAATAAGCTCTCATAGTACACAATGAATATTTCGCGAAAGATTGCCTAAAGCACCAGATAATGCAAGATTGATATTGACTACATAACACTCAAGCCAAGCATAACGAAACAAGCGCCTTACCAATGACAACATTTTCAAAGATTTCAGTCACTTCCTCACAGGGAAGCTCTTCTGAGGATGTAATCTTGGTTATGGTTATATTACTGTCTCGATCAACTGCCTGAACAATCTGGATATTGCCATCCTTGTGTTCCATAATCTCAACCTGCATCGACATATTTCATTAGTCTTGACAAATACAAAAGAAGCTCTCTCTAAATAAAGTTCGACAGGTAAGCCACTTGTTAATGCCCCTAAAATTGTGACTATAATCTTATCCGAATAATAATAACAGTTGAGAGTAATAAAATTTATGAAAAAAATTAGTTAAGACTTCAAGATAAAAGGTATAAGGGTGCACTTACCATAGGAACAACAGAGGAACTCTTGACAGACTTTTCAGTTTTGACATTCTTCTTCCTATTTCTGGAGTTATTAGATGCAATGGCTGTGACGCGCTTTGAGATAGTGCTATTTGGCAGTGCAACAAGTTTTTCTGGTGCATTCGATTTTCGCTCAGGTTTCCTCACTTTAGCAGTAGTCCTCTTACTTTGATCCTGAAATTTAGCAGTGGTATTGAGATCAGCATTTTTCATTTCTCCAGATTTCTTCGCGCCAACAGCTTGTTGAGTTCTCCCAATCCTTTCTTCTATCGCTTCTTTCTTTGGTTGCTTAGTCTTTACAGGAGAAGAATCTCTACTCTTTGTAGAAGGCAGTTTTCCCTGAATGACAACTTCATTACTCTTTTGACCTGAAGACGTTTCAACTTTTCGTGCCTGCAATTTCCGGTATATAGTGAAATTCACAGCTGAATTCTCTTCCTTTGAGTTCCATTTTCCAAATGTCTCTTTAGTATCTGAAGGAAACTTTTGTGCCTGCATTTCTGGAGCGTACATCGGCTTCATGATCACAATAGGTGGAGCATCATCGGCGAAACTCTTCAAGAAATGAGAAACACTAGTTTGATGAGAGATCACATTATTAGATCCCTCAATACACTTGCTTCTCAAAAGGCCTTTGAATTGCATTGTTTCAATTATCCCGTCCAATGTTCTCTGTTTTGGATCCGTCCTCTGACCGATGACAGACGGCTTCGTTGCCTTTGGCAAATCTATTTCAAATACAGGCCTTCTCTGCTTCAAAACCTTATCCTTCTCTAATTGTTTCTGTGTTGTAGGAATATCTTCAAGTCCCATTAGTCTTGCTATCAAATTTGGCGCTTTCGGCTTCTCCTTTTGAATCTTTGGTGGAGAACACTCAAAAGAGGAAATTTCATGGGACTGAACCATGGAACATTGGCTTGAGCTAGTGGACGAGAAATCGGGTGATAAAACCACTTTTTTCCCATCAACAACACCAGGTTTTTCTATCGATGACTCACTCGAGGTAGTGAAACTAGTAGAGGGGAAATCGGGAGATAACTCTACTTTTCTTCTATCGATACGAGCCTTCTCTGAACCACAACATGACTGCAACAAATTTTGTCTAGCAAGACCATCTCTTATCGCTTCCCTTAACTCATCATAACAATCTCGCGAACAATCAACAGAAAATCTTGGCTTCTCAAACTCCACCTTATCGTACCAGTGATCTACAACACGTTCAGATTTCGTCCTCCCAATACCTATTCCATTCCTCATTTTCCTCAACTTTGTCATATATTCTGAAGCTTCTTGCAATTTCCCCAGCATAACTATTGACTCTTGTAAATCAAGTGCTCCTTTTAACAAATCTTTTGTAATATCCTTAGAATTCTTTTGTTTTCCAACTTTATGATTTTCCATATTTTGAGGGTCAATTTTGGATTTTTTAATTGTCTTACCTTCAATAACACCTTTGGGATTATCACAAGTGACAAATGATCTATACATAACTGATCTCAGATTATCTTGAGGCATATTCTATAACATAAGAATTCAAGTAGAATTAGTCAGAAACTGACATAAAATCTTGAAAAAACAACATAATAAGATTTGCCAAATGTACTCACATAAACTAATGAAGAAATTTTCAAAGGTTTGAGTCACTGAAAGCAGAACCAAATATAAAGAATTAGTTGCCATCTATAAAGACAAATATAAACTTCTCAAATATAGAATACATTCATCTCCTCTGAAATATTCAAATTAGAATTATGAGTATATTCATTTCATAATTCTCATTATATTCTTCCTAATCTTTAAAGAATAACTGATAAATAAGAGGAAAAGGAGACAAATGAAAGAGATGGCCACAACTGTGATAACAAAAAAAAAATATGTATCATAAAAAAAGGGCGGCCAGGTGCACTAAGCTCCTGCTATGTGCAGGGTCCAAGGAAGGGCCGGACCACAAATGTCTATTGTACGCAGCCTTAACTGCATTTCTGCAAGAGGCTATTTCCATGGCTCGAACCATGACTTAAACAACAATAATAATTACATCTCAAATGACAAAATTACAAGTTATTAAGAACACTGTAAAGCAGCTTAAAGACTCCATTGTTATCCCAATAAGTTCATGTATAAGCTGATCATATGATAAAAAAATGACCGTTTTTACCTTAGCCTCTATCCAAAAGGAGAAATGAATGAAAAAGGACCAAACAGTAATCAAATGCACAACAACAACAACAACAAATTCAGTATAATCTCACAAGCGGGGTCAGGAGAGGAGAGGGTAGTCTGTACACAGACCTTACCCCTACATAGAGGCTGTTTCCTATAAACCCGACTCAAGTAATCAAATGCACCCAAATGAATATCTTGGAACAAACAAAAAGATCCCAAGTGATGAATTTACACACACACATAGAGGTGCAAACCAAAATCTTGGAACAACCAAAAAGATTATAGTGATGAATTCACACACACAAACACACACGCACAGGTGCAAATGAAAATCTCGGAACATCACACAGAGGTGCAAATGAAAATATTGGAACAACCAAAAAGATCACAGTGATGACTTTACACACACATATATATACACACAAAATAGCACCAATAAACATATTATTATTAATTCTCACCTGGATTAGCCCTTTACATTTGTGTTAGCAAAAGAGTGAACAGACCCCAGATCCTATAACCAAAATAATAGCAGGTAAATCTTGACTTTTTTGGTTCAGTCCACCCCACTATCACAGTTACTATATGAGAATGTCCCTTTATTTTCAAGAACTTAGACTTTAAGGAATTTTCTATTTATTCAACTTTATTCTGCTTAATTAATATTAGCAATAAAAGATGGCAAATTTTAATGTGAATTGTGGGTGGTGGTTGAGGATGATGCTTACTCCCATGTGAGCTGAAGTGTACCTAAGACTAATTGGATATGGCAAAATAAAAAGGGTTATTGAAAAAATTAGACTAGAAATTATGATTAGAGAAAGGCGGATCAAGATGGAAAAACTTATTAATATTTGGCGTTTATATCCCGATAAATACATAATATTATATCTTTTATATTAATGTTATATTAGGGTAAGCTATCTACATTAATAACTGCGGAAGAAGCTATTAATGTTGCATTACAGTAGACTATTTACATACACCCTTTGTGGTGCATCCCTTCCCCGAATCCTACATAAATGCAGAATATTTTATACATCGGAATATCCTTTAAATACAAAACATATTTACTCAGTATTATAACAACAATAAATAAGGCTCACTCCTACGTAAATGGTGTCGGCTAAGTTGTTATTATTCATCATGATTCGATAGGCTTTACGCTGATTGTCAGCCTACCACAATCCTCCTTCTCTATTCGAACTTTGGACCGGCAATATAAGTAATCTCACAAAGCTAACATGCCCATAGTTATTATTTAATCATCTCCTAATATATTATTGTTATTTTTATTACGTATTTTTATGGTACTAATATATCATCTCCTATTGCTTTTTTGAGCCGAGGGTCTCCTGGAAACAGCCTCTCTACCCTTCAGGGTAGAGGTAAGGTCTGCGTACATATTACCCTCCCCAGACCCCACTTATGGGATTATACTGGGTCGTTGTTGTTGTTGTTGTTGATTAACATATATATACCTTTATTTAACACTTAATATAATTTATTACATAATAAGGTTTGATTTAAATAATACACACCAAATACAAGTAAAATTTTATTGTTACAAACTTAGGAAGAGACATGCAGCAAACTTGAGTCTGTACAACAGTACTCCCTCGGTCCATAATAAGTGATCTTTAGCCTTTTTTTGTGATCGAAAATAAGTAATTTTTTCAGATTTCAAGAATTAATTAATTATTTTTTTCTACTTTGCCCTTGAAGTAAATAGTGTTGAAATATGTGCTAGGAGTGTTTATGCGAAGAAATAGTAAAAGTTAATATGGTCAATTTCATTATTAATTAATGTTAAAAGGTGAATTTCTTAATCTGCGTAAAAACAGCAAAAAAATCACTTATTGTGGACCGGAAAGAATAACCTACACGGAGAAACAATGTCTACGAATTAATTAAATATATGTAGCCAACCGTTTGGTTGTTTTTGGAACATATTCTCTGCAGGGGACAATTTTTAATGAGGAGCTTTCAGATTGTCTGTATCATTAAATTATACAACGAGATCTTACTCCAATTACCAACGATTTTTTTTTTGTTTCGAAAATAATTTCCTTTTATTATTGCTATACTTTATACTCCATTCAGCTCAAAATAATTGATTTTTTTCTTGTTTTCACACATACTAAGAAATTTACCTTTTAACATTAATTAACAATGAAATTGATCATATTAACATTTAATATCTCTTCACATAAATACTCCTAACACATACTCCAAGGGCAATGTAGGAAAAAAATAATTAATTCATTCTTGAAATCTGGAAAAATCACTTATTTTGAATCACAAGAAAAAAAACCAAAAAGTCACTTATTTTAGACCAGGAGTATAATAATGACTTCCCACGTTTCTTTTTTCCTTATGGGAAAATACCGCTACTCAACTTTGGTTTCAATTTTCATTTTGACAGGTTAATTAAAGTCGGTACCTATTAAACATTTTCAATATAATTTAAAGAGTATCTATTAGACATAAAATTAAAAAAAAATTTGCAAACCGTGTATATTATAACATCTAGTTGGTATCACATCTTGAAATTGTGATAAATCTTTTATTGGATTATAAAAGCTAGTGAAGTCAAGACAAGACATGGATATTCAACAAAATTCCATTAGTATAAGAAGGGCAGCTATTCATTTTATTTTAAAATTAATAAGGAGAATATAATATATTTTATCTCTAAATTGTCACCTGAATTTTCTCCGATAGATAAGGGAAGTTATTAGTCTTTATTTGACTTTGAAAAAAAAGAAATATACATTTATTATTTAATTACTTCATTGGAAAAAGAAAGAAAACAAAAATAAGTCTCTTAGAGCTGAAACATTAATGCTCTAGACCAAAAAAAAGAATTACCATTGCTTTTTTTTTTTTGGTTGAGAAAATAGAAACATTAAATTAACTAAACTAGTTCCACCATATTACAATTCATAGTGACGTTACTTAAGGCATTCAGATTACCTAGACTTGCTAGCATATTACATGCACTATTAGATAAGTGCTTAACAAAAAGAACACCACCAAGTTTATCGTTTTCCAATGCATAGTTAACAAAAATGGGAGGACTTGCAAAGCGGGTAATCTTGTTCAACTTGGATTGATGGGAAGCTTCCTTTGCTAATATGTGTGCGACTGCATTTCCTTGACGGAAGGTGTGTCTAATCGCCAGGTGTTTTAGTTGTAATATTAACAACCTGCAGTTATAAATAAGATTGTTAAATACTTCATTACCTTCTTTTATTAATTTAATCACCTCTGTTGAGTCTGTTTCAATTTCTAGTGGTTGTAGTTGCATTTCCAAAGCAATTTGAAGGCCTTGTTTCAGTGCTAGAAATTCTGCCTGAAGTGGAGATGTCGCATATGTGCAGTTTGGAAAGCCCACAATCCAGTCTTCATTGGTGTTTCTGATGAGGCCACCTAAACCAGATTGAAGGTTTTCCTCCTTGAAGGAACCATCCACATTTAATTTGTAACAACCATTTGGTTCTTATGCCATTTGACATAAATAGTACAATTCTTGGTGATACTATTATCAGAGTCAGATAGAAATTTATATTCCAAAGCATAATGAAGAATATTTTTTGTAGCCAGTGATAAAGCCATGTTATTGTGATTCTTCTTGTTCCTGTTAATCCATAGGCTCCATAGTATAAACGGGAAGAACTCTGACCAGTTAACATGAAAATTAGATGTGTGTAAATTTAGATCTCTTACCCAACATAGTCAGTGAGTAGTGGAAGGAATGTTTATATTGGGCACTTCTAACTTAGACCAGAAAGATTTAGCAATAGAACAATAAAGAAAATATGAGTTATAGTTTCTGTAGAAGCTTTGCACACAGGGCATATTGCGTCAATATTAATATTTATGTGATGAAGATAAGATCTACAAGGAAGCCTTTCATGAAAATACTACCATAAGAAAAACTTATTTTTGTTGGGGCATTTTGCATTCCAAATCCAAGTGAAGTTTTTAT